GTCAGATTTGTGCTGACGATTTGTGCTGATGCCAAAGCAAATCATCAGAGCCAATGAGGGTTTTCTTCAAACTGCAAACGCGAATTGTCTATGCCATGCTAGAATGTCGGATTCAGAAAAAGATGTCGAAGAAGAAGTTGAAATGTCTGAAAGGTCGGACACAGGCGAGAGCCTATCGGGAGATGGAGACGGAGACCAATAAGACCTCCCTCATCCTTGGCCCTATCTCCAAGATTTTATCGAAATAGTCGAAAAATGTAGTTTTTAATTTCTTATAGTGGCATCTGGCTGGTTTTTTTTTAAAGGTTACTTTATACTTTTATACTTTAAGTAGTTTTTGGAGCACATACTTTTTCACTTTCACTTGAATAAAGAGGTCAAGTTGATACTTTAACTTTTACTGCAGTATCTATACTTCTACTTAAGTAACAATTGTGTGTACTTTTGACACCACTGACTACCGGCAACTACAACTTCGAAACATGTACTGTGCTGTTTAAACGAGTAATAAATGTACTGTATAAAAATAAAATACAGCACATCAGAAAAACACTGAAAAAAAAATCTAGAAATAAGTAAAACTGTCTTAAATTAAGTGTATTTACCCTTAATTTGAGTACGTAAATGAGATGATTTGCCAATGGAATATATATATTTTTCTCTTAAAATAAGATAATTTGATAATATGCACTTGAAATAAGACAATGCAATTGTGTTTTCTTATTTTAAATGTAAATTGTCTTGTTGCATTGTGAAATTGATTCGGCCTACCTTTTCAGTTAAGGTGCAAGTTAGGCTTTAACCAAAAGCAAAGTCAGTCATTCATTGCCATTGTCTTGTTCCTGCTCACTTAAACCACCAAATTCCACTTCTTCGGTGTTGGAAATGAAACGGCCTTTGAAGGGCCGTGGCGGTGTCCTCCACTTCACCGTGCTGCTGTCCATGCCTTCGAAATCTGTTGGTGATCGTGGACACTTCTCCACGCTGTCAGAATCCACTGGCAGACTTGTGCACATGCACTTCCACCAGGCAAAGTAGTAGAAGTGAGTATTGGCATGAGTGTTGCGATTCGATACATGTCGCGATACTTGGGTCACGATACGATATTATCACGATATTGCAGTATCACTATATATTGCCATATTTTCCCCAGCTATCAAAAACAAATGATGAGATAAAACATCAAGTGCTGTATATTTTCATCAGAAAATATTGATTAGGTATTATTATCCATGTTGTTTGGGGTTTTCTTCCACTGTGACTGCCTCAAATACAGATTTGGTGCTGCGCGCACAGTTAAAGGGCTCCACAGCGCTTTCTGCCAGAGTGGTGGTGCAGGGGTAGCCCATTTTCCCATCAATGTTTTATGTAACCATTTTTTTTTTAAATCGATATTAAGAAGTGAAAGATCGATATTATATTGGGCAGCCGAATATCACGATATACGTGATATGCGGAACTGTCCAAAACAAATTCTCTTACGATATCACAAAAATCTTGTTAATCCACAGAAAATCCATATCGGAAGATAAGAAGCAGTGTCCAAAGCTTGTGAAAAAAGCAGCTGCTTAATGTCCGAAAATGACGGTATATTTAATTTAAAGAGTTTCAGAAGGATTGTTTATATAATATACCAGGTTATGACTGATTTAATAGGAGGGGCTTAAGAAACAGAATTAAAAGAAAAGGCTCCTCTTTCTATTCTGCAGGGAGAAAAACACAATTGTATATATCTACAGCAAAATTATGTAAAACATTAAAAAAGTAGAAGGGAAGATGCCTATTTTTGTCATGTCACCTCAAGATCAGTAGGGTATTTTGTTAAAGGAACTTTCAGGGTCAGGTATCTTCTCATAGAAAAGGGTAATTAGGTCAGTGGATGATCTGTTTGGATGAAATTCTTGTTAAATATATATGGTTATAACAACTTATAACAACAAGCTACTTCTAGACATGAATAGCGTGAAATTAACATGTTCAACTAACATTAGTAGAGAGGACTTTACAAATATACCATATTTTCCGGACTGTAGAACGTGTCTCACTATAAGCCGTGCCCACTAAATTTTTTGAAAAAACTAAATTTCAGATTTTTACACCCCATTTGCCAAAAGGAGCACTACCACAGGTCATAAATTTTTGCTGCAACCAGAATCTACAATGCGCACTACAACGTCAATAACTTGTGCAATGAATAAAGTGCAATTACAATTTGATACCCTGTGCTATAACCTGTTTCTCTTTGCAAAAACTATATATATATATATATATATATATATATAAATTAAAGGAACGCTTTGTAATCAGAGTATAGCATCAAGTTAATTAAACTTCTGGGATATTGATTAGGTCAGGTAAGTAGCAGAGGGGGTTGTTAATCAGTTTCAGCTGCTTTGGTGTTAATGAAATTAACAACAGGGGTACTAGAGGGGCAACAATGAGACGACCATCAAAACAGGAATGGTTTTACAGGTGGAGACCACTGACATTTCATCCCCTCCTCCTCATCTTGACTCTTTTTCACCAGTTTTGCATTTGGCTAGGGTCACTGTCACTACCGTTAGCATGAGGTGCTACCTGGACCCTACAGAGGTTGCACAGGCAGTCCAACTCCTCCAGGATGGCATATCAATACGTGCCATTGCCAGAAAGGTTGCTGTATCTCCCAGCAAAATCTCAAGAGCATGGAGGAGATTCCAGGAGACAGGCAGTTACTCCAAGAGAGCTGGACAGGGCCGGAGAAGGTCTACAACCCATCAGCAGGACCGGAATTTGCTCCTGTGCAAGGAGGAGCAGGAGGAGCACTTCTAGAGCCCTACAAAATGACCTCCATCACCTTCTTCTCCTTTGACTGTTTCAGCTGATAAAATGAGTACATTTCTCCACTGAGATCCATTAAGACAATCAATCAACATATATGCCCTGGAATAGGGACAAAGAAGAATGCTAGCTCCCATTAGCTTGTTGGCTCACAGGAGTATGAGCTTCTACTGAAAGATGAAGCTTCGTTAGCTCTTTATTTCACCTCTGCTGGAATTGAGCCCAGTCTCTTCATTGGTTCGGCAGCTTTAATGTGACAAAAAAAATGTAAACATGTGTGAATTCGGGGAATCAGTTCTCCATTGTGCATGCTGCTAGCATGTTCTTGTGCTAAATAGAAATTACCCACATATTCTTTCAGTTCCAACTTTGACTTCCCCCTCTGGCAGTTAGGAAAAATCAACAGAAAAGCTGCACCTTCTTATAAGCCGTGTGGTTCAAAGTGTGAGGAAAAAGTAGTGGCTTATAGTCCTGAAAATATGGTAATTCACCTCACCAAAATAAAGTCTTTATTAACTTTAGCAATGAATAAAAACCCTTCCTGAAGCATATTATTTAGATATCTTACCTTGGATCTGGATCAGTACGAAAAATACTAACTTATTTACCCAATTTTTTTTTTGTTAAAGTTATAGTGGCGGATTTTTGCGAATTTTTGAAAAGACCTGCCCTCTCCACAAAAAATACACATGCACAACCCTGTACTCGCACCTGAGAGGGAACCCCAAGTCCATTTGTCCTCATGCACGCTCTGTTTAAAAGTTGCTGTTTGCATCTCTCATACAAGCTTACTTCACTATGTCAGACTCATCACCACCGGTAAGTGAAAATGCAGACGAGCACGTAGGACAACCTTACGTAAACATATTACCAGAATGGTTTACAATTAGGAGGACCACTTATATAGATGATCCACCCGGAAGAAGAACATCCTCCACTCTACCTTTAAATCAAATCACTTGAAGCCCCAAAATTAACAAGTGATTCATATCAATAATGTCTGAATGAAGCTATTAACTGGAAATACATCTTCACTGGTCAGCCTCTACATCTTTCTGAGCTAAAGAGTGAAAGGTTCAAGCTCACCTGGATCTTTGCTTCCCTACATTTGCTCCTGGTTATGTAGGATTTGATCACCGGGTTCTTTCCAATATGGTTAATAGAGGAGTTTTTCTCTGAGATGGTCTTTGCTTCTGATGGACGCTACAGGAAACATCCCAAAGGAAAAATAAAGAGAGCATAAACCCACTCTGTTTTCTAGTAAAGGGTAACAATTTCAACAATCTGTTATTTTATAATCTACAGTGGGACATGCTACCAGCTCTTTCAGGAACTGATATCTAGTTTTTTACATTTTTTCACATTTTCTCATTTCTTAGCTGCCAAAAACATATCAGGATCAGGCTTTTAGCTTACACCTTCATAGGTAAAAATGACAATTGTCTTTTCTTGTAGGGAACAATAGGCATGGGGTGGGTTATAATTCCTGCTGATCTTGGAATTGTTAACTGTTAGAGCTGGAATTAGATTCTTTCCAGCACATATAAAAAAATAGTATCTAGTACATATCAAAAGAACAATAAGAAAAAAAATAAGAGAGACCTTAGTTTAAATTAATATTGCTGGAGATTCCTAGTAATTCCAGGTTGAAACCAGTGATTACTAATTTAATTTGTTAATCTTTAACACAAAATGTTATAAGTCACATGTCTTGTCTGATTGCTCCTGAAGAAGATGAAGATTGCTCTCTATATGGTTCTCCCTTTTCCTCAAATTCATAAACTCCTTATCAGTTATGTTGAAAAAAATGTAAACAAATGAATCCTAGTCAATAAACATCCTTATTCACATGTTCACTTAAGGGGAATTGCTTTTTTTTTTTTTACATTGGGCCCTTGATTTTACATTATTACATCATGTTCTACTCACCCATATGAGTTTTGTGTCATTTGGAGCTGTTCTGAAGATATTCTGTTAGGTTATATCCAAGTAACGTCTTCCTATGGACAACGACTTGAAGGCACAAACTAAACTGTTCATAATTTATTCTTTATGGTACGCCAGCATTCATAACATGTAGGCAAATCACTGTCCCCCAGACATCCGTGGTTGACTTTTCTGAGACAATTTTGATGCTTTTTGCATTTTGTCCGTTAAACTCCTTGACTAACGTCATCATCGGACAGGCTCAAAGTAGTTCAACATAATATGATTAAACCATGTTTATCTGCATTTTAGTTGTTTCTTTCTTTAGGTGTTGCAATATATACAATAATGCTAACACGAAAGGAAACCATGAAACTCAAAAAGAGAAGATTTTAGGTTTCAATCCAAAACCGAAAAAGTTAGCTCACGGAAGTTAGCTCGCAAAATAGTGTGGGATCCCATTTCTGGTACGGATCGGGCACAAGCGGGTGATGAAAAAGAAAGGGATTTTAAGGCAATTATTTTCTCAGGAAATACATTATTAACATTTAACAAATAATAGTTTAATAAGCTTACTATTTTGGGGGAGGGAAAAACATAGTTAAAGTATTTTTTTTTACAAAATAATATCGAGGGCGACCCGGATGTGTATCTGGTTACACATCGATTGTGAGCGATAAGTCCAAATGTCCGCCTTAATTACAATATAGTGGTTACATTATTTTAATGAGTGTCTGAGTGAATGGAAAAGTTGGGAACTTGAAATTTCCTATAATGCACCTTGAAAAGTGGTGATTATCCATGGTCACTAGATATATACTGGAATGCTTTGCGAGGACAGCATCCTTGCAAAGGATTATATGATTTGTTGTCACAGCGGCCTGCTGTCGCTTTAGGCTGTCACTACCAACAGCGGCGACTAATAACAAAGATGGCGCAGGCATCATGTTAGGAGGTGGAATCATGCGACCAAAGGGGAGCGAAAAGTAGTGATCAACTGTCCGAATGGTCGGTTAACTGAGATCACTATAAAGTCCACTAAATAGACCTCACCTGATCTAGTGATTGAAGGATCTAGGCCGTTCGGACACAGCTGGATAGAACATTTGTGGGAAGTTTCCAGGGGAAAAACAGGCTGTATGTATGGCTGCATACATAGCTAGCTAAAAGCCTGATTAGGACGTCTTCCACACACTGCATTAAACAGGAAACTGAATGTTGGGTTTAATTAGCTTTTAAGATAAAGTAATCAAAAACAGATCCCTGAATAATAGACTATACTGTAGGTTTTCCTTCCTTTCAGTTAAATATCATCTGGGTTTAGCTGCCATTCTTTTTCTTAATTTCTAAAATTGTGACAAAACCAGAAATTACAAAAATATTAGGAGAACGCTGCTATGAACTCACCTTTTGTGAGGCGCTCTGACTGCTGTCCCCCTGCAGCATCGCTCCGACAGCCATCAACCTACTCCTCTCTAGTTTCACCACCGGTGTCTGCTGCAGCTGCTGATCTCTCTGACCCTGGGCTTTCCCAGCCTTCAGCTCCTGAGGTGCTGTCTTTCTTTTCATGCTTCTTTTCTCTAAAGAGAACAGATATGTGTTGCACTTCCTTCTGTTCGGTCTCCTTTTGCGTTTGACAGTTTTCTCCTTAGTCTCCTCACTGGGGAAAATGGCATCATTCAGCGATGACGGTTCTGGATCAGCCCCCTGAACTCTGGGTGTCTGAGAGCAGCTAGCTTGAAGCAGCCGATGAGGTGTGTGGGGAATCGTAACTCTACTGTGTTTTCCCCGTGAAGAAGTCTCATCACCTGTCTCCTTCTCCTTCCTGGGGCTGCCGCTTTCAGTATGGATATCAAAGCAGTGGAGGAAGTTCTCCAGCTCGTCATGCAGCTCGCCCTCAGATTGCTGCTGCAGCACGGGCACTTCAGAACTGCTGAATGTGTGGCCGCTTCTTGAAAGAGGATGCCGAGAGTGGGTAGCTCTGTTCGGCAGAATATCCAGCCCCATCATGACTTCCTCCAGCAGGGATTCAATCTCCTCAGGCTTGTCCTCCTGAGGCCGTGGAGCTGGAGGAGGGGACTGGGAAATTGTGGGGAAAGGACAAAGGTGAACCTATGAAACTAAACAAGAGCCTTGTTCCACAAAAAAAAAGGTTTGTTTAAAAGAAAAACTACTTTTTAGATATTTTCAAGCTGTTTTTTTTTCCAAACTCGCAGATTTGGACTACTGTTTTGGTGTAGGGAGCAGAGGCATGTTATTCTTTAAAACTGATCACATACACAGAATACTGATGATGTTTTAAATGCATTCAAGGACAGTGGGAACAGGAAACGTGTTGAGCTGTTAGTTACAATTCCACACCACCTTCATCTGAGGCCCCGCCGCGCCAAAACAAGGCCACAAGTTTAACTTTTTTTTAATCTGCAAGTAAAAAAAAAAATCTGTAAGTTAAAAAAAAAAAAGAGTTAAACTTCCAGGTATCATTTTTTTAAAGTCGTTGGGAAGCGGCTGTTCCGAGTGGTGCCCGACTTTACAGGAGTGAATAAAGAAAATGTGATTGGTTGTTTATCCAGGTTTTTGTGACGGAAGGTTCACAAGCAAGTTTGGTTGTGGCTGTTGTCTCGGAAGCATCTTGCTAACCAGTTAGCAACTTAGTGCTAGTAGGTTCCCAATGGGAAATTACATTGGGACCAAGTTGCACTAAATGGTGACTAAATGGTGACTCTGTTAGCTCTACACCTGCTGAAGACAAAGACGTCCATCCCTGTGAACACTGGGACGGAACTCAATTGTAAATTAAATGATTCTTATTACTTATTTTAACCGTTGCATATATTAGCTGCAACATATGAATCAAGATGACCTTTGATATATGATTAGCTGAATGTAGGTGTTCAGGTTGAGGTATAACGAACTGGCCTGCATAAGATAGCGAAAAAAAAACAGATTTTTGACAGGATTTATTTTGAACATAATTTTAGATTTAACAGAAATTTTGTAAATTTTTGGGACAAAATCGTCTGTTTAAGAGTGCATTTATATACATGTTTAAGCCAGAATGATTTGACATTTAAATATGATTTTCCTATGACTTTAACATTCTTTTTTTATGGTATAAACTTTTTTTTATTCAAAAAAACTTTTAATTTGTCAAACAAACTATGGCCACGATTTTGCTCCATATAAAGTACTTGTAAACTAAACTGAAAAGCTTCCTTTTCCCTCTGTATCACAGCTAACTTTGTGGTGAACTGACACATTAAGTCTTAATAAAACAGGTTTAATGTTTGTGGAAAGATGAAGATTAATTGGCATTATGGTTTCTGAATTCAGATCACATTCTAGGAAAACGTCATTATTTTACTTGCTACATAAAGCACTGTAGTTGTTCTGTATTCTTAGATTTTTTTATTCAAATAGATCCAAACGATCGTTCTTTACATGTATTGCAAAAGGCTGCATTCCTGTTTCTGGTTACTCACCGCTGCGCTGAGCTTCTGTGGGGTGTGTCTTCGCCCTCGCTGGGGTTTTGCCGTCCCTCCAACCCCGCCCTGATGCAGGTATGGACTCTGGCCCACCTCAAACACTGTCTTACGTCCTCTCCTCCTTCGACCCTTACTGATGGACTCCAGCTCCTCTCTGGTTTTCTGGCACAGTTTCCTCCCCACAGTGCCCCCACCCTGACCCGTTCTGGGCTTACTCACCACCCACCTGTGTGGGAACAACTTCTGCAGCTTGCTCACCCCGATCTCCTGCGTGTCCACCTTCTGAGTCAGCCCTCCCCGGGGCCTCCTTGCTGTCCTCCCTGTGGGAGTCCTGGTTCTCTGCTGTCCCTTCCTGTCTCCTCTTGGCCTCCCCCCTCCCCTCCCTCTGCAGGTGTTCTCCTTTTTCTCCAGGTTCAGAAAGGAGTCGATGAATCCAGCGATGCTTGCCTCAAACTGCTCCAACTCGTTAGGGTTGGGTTCAGCCTGGCAGCTCTGAGAGGTGGCCTCATGTGAGGGAGTCTCTGGGGGCAAATCTGGGGGAGGCATGTACTGTGGGGTCACCATGGCTACATATGAGCTTCCAGATGCTTCTTGCAGACAGTCTGTAGAAGCAGAGGAAGATTGGAGCATTTGGTTTTCAGCTGGTGGGTAAACTAGTGTGACTGTCTGCCCTAAACTCTGTAGAACGTCCATGTTGATGGTCTCGTAGGGCACTGCTGGATGAGGGGGGAGGGAGTTAACGAGCTCTTCCTCAGTCTGAGTCCACACGTCTCTCCCGCTCTCTGACAGCGTGTCTTTCCACAAATAGGTGAACCCATCCCTCACCTCTCTCCTCCATTTCACCAGTCTTCCCCCCTCCATCCTCAGAGGCTCGGTCTGGACCCCTGCCTCAGCGTGCTGCTTCGTCCCTGCGCTAAGCCTGCTTGTTACCTCCACCAACCCGCTGATGCCGAGCTTGGCTGCGGCACAGATGGCCTCCTGCTTCTCATTCTCCCCCTCCCCAGCCATCTCTCCAGAGTAAAGAAGCCTGGCGATTTGGAGTAGGGTCCCGGAGACTCCAGGAGGCGTCACGGTCCAATAGGGGACGACAGCGAGGGGAAACAGCCGAGGAGACGTGAGGGCTTAAGGTTGACAGAACGCAGCTGTGTGCTGGGACCGATATACCTGATGATGAGATCCTGAAGGTAAAAAAAAACAAAAAAACATCCAAAAGTGATGCAACAATCTTTACACCACAAATAAGAAATTTGTTTGATTATTTCATATGAAATTGATGGTTCCTGTTTTGGATGGTTGATATGTAACTGCTGGGTGTATGAATGTTGTTCTCAGACTGTATTAACTGTAAACTGAGCTTCTTCTTTTTTTTTTTTTTTTTACATTTGCCTAAAAGATTAATTGTTCACAGTGGATTAGCTAAAGAAATTGATTACACTTTAGATGCAATGAGTAAAAAAGTAGCCAAAGTGCAAATAAAAAGTTACAACAATGTAGAAAGCCTGAATAACAGTTGAACAACACCAATTTATAACAGATTACAAGGAGTTTTTAGCTATAAAGATGATGGATGGATGAATAAAGACTTATGCACAGTATTGCAATATAAACATGATCTACATGCAAATATCAGCAGCAACCTCATTCAATTACCCAGCTCAGAGGATTTTCACTTATTTATGGGTTTGTTAATACCTCTGGCTCTGAGCAAAGTGTCACAGAACTGATTGCACTGCTGTTGCCTCTGCAGCTCTGCCAGAAGGAGGGACTCAAAGCCTGGTTTTTGGAAGCACCACATCTCTCCAACCACTGTAAGAGGCAAAGAGTGAAGAAGGATTAGACTAGTAGACCATAAAAGCATGTTTTTGTTAATGTTTTAAATATATAAAACCTACAGCGTAACATGATGCATATTAGCATTTCTTTGAATTGCTAAAAAAAGTCCAACACTTAGAAAATAAGTTGACTGCAAAAACTGCATTTCCAACTGAAACCCTAGCTCTAATGTCCTTATATTATTGTATTAAAAACATAATTAACTTATTTATTCTAACATGTTAATAACCTTATCAGCTTTATTTTTTTATTTAGCAAAGAATTCTACATTGAAGTTACCTATATATATTTTTTTTTTTTAATCTTCATGTAATCAATTATGTTGTACCATTTATTTAAATAAGATAAAGGATAAATATTGAGACAAATGTTAACTAGGATGGACCTCAGCACACCTGCGTTTAGCATAACATCTGACTGCAGGCTAACTACAAGACCAAAGTGTCTAAATTAAGCTTTTCTAAATCAGTCATGGCAGACCAGTTCTTATTTAATATGTCACACACATTATAAAACGCAACTTAATACATGTACTTTGTGTTATTGCTAAAATAACGAACTCTTTGAGCTAGCTAAATCAGGCTGCAGTAAAATGCGAGCAGGTGTCCAACGACTGTACTTACCACCGCGTGCCAGTCTTAATAAGCTATAAAAATAATTCGCTTCCAAAAATGTGAAGTTAATATTTTATATAGCAAATATAAAAGGATGGACTGTGGGTTTGTTTGTTTTTTCTCTGTCAGAAAAAGAGGTCAATCACAGGTCAGATTGATGGTCAAAGCGGGATGGGAACCCTGCAGTTTGCTGCTACGCCAAAAGGTGGCGAGAGAGAGTCACGAAACGATCAGATAACCAAAGAATGAAAAGAAGAAGAGGATTCTGTATGCGGCACTTCCGTCTTCGTTTGTACATGAAAAACAAAACCGTAGTAAAAAAAATAATCGGTTTGTAATTAAAATGTAATTGAATCTGTTGAATAATTCGTTGTATTTGTTCATTTAAAATATAATATATCATACGAACCCCACAACATCATAACAACTACGGAACCGTTTTGGGTTTGAGTAATATTATGGATGCTTTACCACAAGCATTATTTATTTTGTAATAATAATAGTAATTGTTTGCTGTAGCAAAAGTATTATGCAATGAAGTAAGTTAGAAAAAATCCGAAAAAGGAATAAATTATTACAAAAGAAATCTAAAAATCAATTTAATTCAATTTTTTGTTTTTATTGTTTTATTTTTTTTCTTATTTTCTAGCTGCCTGCCAGATAAAAGGGTGAGGGGCATTACTTATTGAACGCCTCTCATATGTTCATATTATCTTACTGTTTTTTTTTTTTTTTTCTTCTAGAAGTTTCTTTTCATAGAAAGAGGGTTACTACCGTATATAAGAATTGTCCTTTCTTTTCCTGTTCACTTGTCTGCTGTTATGTGTCTGTTAGTAAAGATAAATATATATACGGTAAAATAGAATTCTAGAGGAAAATATACAGAAAGGGAAAGTTTTTAAACAGCAATAAAAGGCTTGATTAAGCAATAATTTTCTCCTTAAGGCCAGAATTGGAAAGACCCCTTAAAAATATTAAAAAAGTGTCTAACAATGTTGCTTTTCTTGAGATTGTAAAATCAAAAATATAAAATATTCATTTTAATCAAATTCTGTTGTTCATTTTGGTAACTATACCTTTAAGTAAGCCAGATGCCAGATATGGATTTTTGGAATTTTTCTTAACCATTATATGATGAAATGTCTGAAAGAGAAGTAGGTATTGACCTTTTATTTAGCCATTTAAGGATTTCTTTTATTCCCAGTATTCTTCCCCACAGTTCAATAAAAAGAAAAGTTTCACCAAGTGTTTCCTTCTATGTTGGAAAAAATGTCTGAACAAACATGCCTTCATGAAAAATTTATCTCCTTGCAAAATCATTAATTTGCTGTTTAATCTCATTCTAAAGAAATTAGTTTTAATTTAACCATAACTTTGGGCAGGACTTTCAGAATCTAGAATTCACTAAATTAAAACCTTTATGATAAAATGAAGTAGGGAAAATATTTTATAGACTACTTAGAAACGGTGGTTATTTTTTAAGTTGTACATCTGGAGTAAAGATAATACTATTTATATAATATATCAAAGAAGCTGATCATACCGACTCAGTCCAACAGTCAAGCATGGTGTCAGGCTGCTGACACCATGCTGTTTTGCTGCTTCAGGACAATTCTGCAAAGAAAAGTGGATCAAAATTCCTCCGACGAGATTTAACAATGCATTTCCAGTTATGATTTTTCCATATTTTTTCCACTCAGGCTAACCAAACCAGCTGACAGGTTTGGAAAGACATTACTTGTTCATATAAGGCCGGACATGTTTCAACAACTTTTCCCCCAAATGAATGAAAGAAAGACATTGTTTATTAACTCTGGTTTACTCTTTATTATGACTTTAAAATTTGATAAACAGAAAAGGAAAAAAGTAAGACGTCCTTAAAGGAGTACAAAAATATTTCACATTGCTGTAAAATTCCTAACAAAGCCAATGTGATAAATAACAAAGCTATTTTTTCTTATCCTTCATCCTCAAAATGTAAATAACAAAAAATACGCCTAATAACCCAGTTAGTTTTAAAGCATAGTGCAGCATCATAGTGTCGTGTTTTCAAAGACAGACTGGATGACAACATTTATATGAAAGATTCTTTTCACTTTCTGCTGTTAAGATTCATTGAAGTAGTGGTTGGCTTGAGTTAATAGTAACAATCAAATGACGAAGACATGTAAAAATGTAAAAAACACAGACAACGGTAAAACTTGTGGGAAAACAAACGGGAAAAAAACAGGCTGGTACTTTTTTACTTTTGATGGACGGTGAATCTCTTCCACATATGTTATGGTGCCTCCAGCAGGGAATGACCTAATGTGCCCATTGAACCAGTTCCTAAGCAGTAAACGGATTAAAAAAAGATCGTGAGACCTCAGGTGTCCTCACATCTATGAGTGTGGTGTTTGTGTGCTAAGCCATGGAGATGGAAACACAACCCATACAGGCATTTGGGTGTAATAACATTTCCAGATTTATACAGCTTAGATTTCTAAAGAGATTTTAACATCTTTCAAACTAAAATACAAATACTTAAAAAACAAAAACAGATTTTATTGCTTTGCATCGTAAAACAAACACAACACAACAACCTAGTGATTCAACACCTCTTACACATACTTGTCTTATCTTGTATCTTTTATAGCCTCTTACAATTACTCAATTTTATATATACACCATTTAAAGTCTTTAAATACATAGTATCTGTGCACATGTAAATAAACATTTATATACTTCTTAGCGCTTCTGAATAGATGCAAACTACATTGCTTTGTACTTGTGAAAGTGTAATGACAATAAAGTTGAATTCTTTCCTATAAAACATTTTCAACAGTTAATAATTTATCACATGTTAATGTGATGGCAAACATTAAAACAGTAAATTGACATAGAAATGTTCTATAGGAGATAAATAATCAATTATTTTGCTGGTTAAAAACTGTGGAATAAATTCCTTAGTTAATCTCTTGTAAATCAACTGATTAGCACTTTTGGTTAAATTAAAGTTTCTGTAATCCTTGGGATTTTTTCACCTTTTTCTCCCTGGAGTGAGACATAAATCAATTATTACATAATTAAGATGCATAAAAGGAAAAATAATTTAGTACCTGAAGAAAAAAAAACATGTATTTTGCTACTGTTACTGGTAACCTCTTGCTTTCTTTAGGTTTATTCAGGGATCCTCTTACTCAACTTTTCCAGGAACTGTGGAAGAGTTCTGCTCATCTGATTGAGATCCTTTGACTCATTTCCTCTTTTACATTTCAGCCTAGAGTTCCTTCAAAAACTCATCCTCTTTTGGACCTCCAACCCTTTTGATTGTGTTACATTTAACTCTTTGACAGACATTTAGAAACATCCCTTCAGAAATCACTTGTACACATCAGAATGACTTGCTTGGTAATCGTACACCAATCTGAATCAGAGACATCAAAAAAAGCCCCAAACTGTTAAACTACCATTTAATATATTTCACAAAAGTGAAGTAAGATATATAAAACCTTAACATAAACAACAAGATCAGTGTTGGTCATATCCTTTCAATCAGTATATGGAACTTTCTTCTGATCTTTCTGCAGAGGCTGCAGTGCTGCTCTTTTTTAAAGAGAGTTCCCTGTCAGAGATCAGTTTTGTTCTGAGTTGACTGGATGTTTTTTTTTTTTTTTTTTTACATAGTAAGGAAACAGTTCCTGCAGTTTATGATGTATCGTTGTGTCTGAGCACACCGCTAAGGATTTGGGAAAACGATGGTGTGGGGACTGTGGTAAAAAGCTTTGTAGGGGATGGAGACTCCGGCCGAGGAGTTGGTCGTGGCCATCGCTCATAAAATTTGACAAAGAAGAGTGGGTCCTTGAAGGGCCCCCCATAGATGATAGCCTGCATCAGATAGACAAGAGCCACAACCATGAAGCTGATGAGGAAGAAGGGGAGGAAGGGCCTTAGGTGATGCCATGCAACACCGACTCCGTAGCTGAGGCTGCTGAGCCCACTCTGGTTGCCCGTATGGGTTGTTTGGCGGGAGGAATCCGGGGCCGGATTATAATCCAAAGACTCCTCAGCTGGGCCCTCGGATGAATCCATGGACATTATAAGTTGTTACTTTCAACCCAAACTGATGTTGTAGGTACTCACATTACCCCCACAAAAATCAGCCTTTGAGATCCTGAAGAAAGAAGGATGAAGCCCTGCTTGGCGATTCGTCTGACATAGACGCTCCCTCCTGCCGTGATTAATCCACTGACAAATCCCTCACAAAACCAGTCCTTCTTCTCTTTGTCAAGCAGTCCTCCCAGTCAGAGTCACACCACTGAAATCAAATGTTGCTACTTCTCTTTGAGCTTTGGACAGGCCGAGAGGAATCAAAGAGCTGCAGGGAAGCCATAAATAGATTTGACACCCAATGAGTGGACACTTGTAAGGAGGGGTGCTGCTGCTTTTGGTGGTCTTGGTTCTAAGGACTGCGTGTGTGCCTGCACAAGAGGTTAAAATATTATACATCCGCATCAACAAATACAAACAGAGGGTGGCTTACAGACACATGCAAACACAAGCATTTCAGAGATGAGCATTCAGCAGCAGGAGGGCCTTTGCACGTCTAACGCGTTTATTTTGTTTCTAATAATACAGCTTTGGCAGTTTTTACTCTAAGACAGGTGCTGCTGGTGAGTTTCTACAGCTCATTAAAAGCTAATGATGCATCAAAGCTCTGTGTTAATGCTATCATTTACACTTTTGGTTTTATTTTAAACCCAAAGGTTAAAAATAGAGTTTAACTCAAGAACATTTCTCAACATGTTGGATTATTCTTCTTAGTGACACTTAAAGTCCATAGAAAAGTGTTTATATCCTTTGAAATGTAAATATGTTAATGCTCAGACATGAATGTACGTCATTGGGAGTTTTGGTGATAGAAAATGCTGTAAAATAGTGAAAGAAACAGGATTTTTTTTTTTTTTTTCAGATTTCCTGCCATGTCCCCCTAGGTCGGTGTTTAAATTGACACCTGCTTCTTAAAACCCAAAAAGTCAGAAGGATCGTGAGGTCCCTCTTTCACGGTCTGTATCCACATTGAAAATATAGATCAAGCAAGTTTTTTGTACTTCTGCTCCACGGGAGGTGTCTGTCCTCCCTGAGCTCACCGTAGGACACATGCATTACCGTTTTGACAGGTGTACAGCCTCAGTCACACTACCGACCTGCCACCTTACAGTTGAGGGGTTTTCCAGATCCAGGAACTGGCATTTATCCCTGTATGCTTATTTGCAAAACAAACTTGTTCGAGATTGTTCAGATTGGATGAAAAGTGTTTGTGAGTCACACATTCTATGTTTTGGGATGTTCAAACCTACAGTCCACTGTAGCTACAGCTAAATGTTTAGCATCTTTATCTTGCTGCAGGCTAAACCTTCTCATCCCATCCGAAATCTTACTGCTTGTCTTCAGGAGATCCAATCATTTGGCTTTCAATCTTGCCATTAGATACCTTTTTTTCATGAAGGCCATAATGCAAATCGAAACATTTTCTGTGTCCACGCTTTGAAAAATCTGTGATAGGACTTCTTCAGGGTTTCTTCTCTCGCTGTGTTTTCGAACTGCCCAGTGTTTGATCAATCTATTTCATTGATGACCTGTCTGATGCGTTCCTTGATCTTCTGTAAGCTGTTTGACCACTGAGATCTCCAACAAACCTTCAATGTATTTTGTCTAAATTTACTAATTGAAAATAATTTTTCCTTTCCCTTCCACTTCATAATTACCCACTTCTATTGGTCTATTACATAGCGTACCAATAAAGCGCTTTGTTTGTGTTGGAAAAAGTATGAATCTGTTTGCAGACACTATATCAGAGACTGCTTAGCAAATAAAATCAGTGAAGGAAATGACCACAGCTGAAAAAGGATGTGTTTTTATCGTCATCCTCAATGACAAATAGAAAAAATAAGTTTGTTTAAATGATTCCTTTTAAACTTTGATTTAATCTCTGATATGTTGCTAAAAGACACTTTAAGCCATCCGATATTCCGCTCTCTGGCATCATACCCTGTAAAACTAAATTAAATCTGGCTCCCTGGTTGAGACACATAATGAATCCTGACTAACACCAAAACCATCTACAGTCAGATATTCGCTTCCAAAAACCCCCTCGTGATCCAGCAGCTGCCTTTTGAATGTGCCACATACTGAAAATGACAAGACAACTTTATGTTCTGGAGCGCAACCCTAAAGCACGTAACTATACCATGTCAGTATGTAACAGGAGAGCTGAGAATGTCAGCACTCTGCTCTTCTGCTCCTTTATAGAGAACATTTAGGTTATATGTTAGACAGAGGTGCTGGATGGGCATAACCACACCTCCTTACATTATATTTCCCAGACTTAAACAGACCAAGCGACTTTCTGGACTCAAAGCTTTGATAATTCGTAAATCCAAAAAGGAAGCTTGACAGAGCAAACTGATGTTAGAGAGAAGATCGCGCGGAGGTCAAGTTTAAGTGTTTACCACTTGGCCCAACAAGTGCCAGGGGATGAAATTACCAAGACAGACCGGCTCTTTAATTAGAAAGGTTTAGTGACAGAAGTCCCAGCTTATCTCTAGTAGGGGAATGACAACCAAACTCAAGTATCAAGGGACTAAAAAAAAAATAAAAAAATTTAAAAAATGATTTTATACCTATAAAATCTTAATCTGGATGGCCATGCTTCATCAGTGTCTTCTAATTACGCTTTACAAAGCATAAATCAGATAGTGGATGAGGAAGACATCTTCCAAAAGATGAAGCAATTAAACGAGTATAAATGTTAAATACCTCGATAAATCAACGGAAAAATCTGTATAAACTGTTATTACACAGATTGAAAACACTGCTTTTAGTTGCAGGAGGTATTTTGATTTGTTTTTGGTGATGAACTCCAGTTCTTTGAGGTTGGAAGGACTCCCTACCATCGCCCTAATTTCTATCTACTTTGTTTGTAGTCATAAGAAACATGTAGGAAATCTTAAGGCTGCTTTTGATCCAACTCTGCCATATTAGTGTGTTGTTTTTTTTGAAAATAAGAATATTAACGCTAAAAGTTGATAAGCTATATTTATGAAACTATTTTCCCACAGAATCAAGATTTACACAAACCCAAAAATATGTTGAAATTATTGAAAAAAAAAAAAAAAGAGAGAAAACTATAATCTGATTCTAAAGAACATATCGAGAACCAACTATTAGAATATTCAAGGTTCAACCTTTAGATTCTAAGAACTTTAAGAATGTTTCCCAATGTGTGCTTAGCCACTGATGCTATGAAAATTTTAAGGGCAGAGTTTGGGATCCAAAGCAAGGGTAGCAAGATCATTTTAAGAATCTCATATGGAGGGCCAAAATTATATAAACTACTAATTAAATGTGAATGCTTTAGGAAATATAACATTTATATGACCGTTCATGTTGAATTACATTAAAAAAGACCAATTATAAAAGCTCAAATATTTATCTTTTAAATAATAAAATGGGTTAATATGTTTTTTTAAACTATTGTTTCACTTAATATGTACCGTACTTAAATGGAGCAGAATGATTAATTTCTATAGAAACTGTTATTTTGAGGGTCAGAGGGTGAAATGTCTATTACTGCTACACAAAAGGAACCTTCTATTATATTATAGATTAACAATAGGTTCATCTAGTTTAAGGGGTGGCTGCGTAGAACATAACATCTGGCTGGATTTACCTTTATTCAAGATGAACAGCTCAAGTTTCTGACCTCTATTAAAACGAAAAACTAGTAAAAAATGAATTGGATGTAAAATATTATGATCTCCTTTCAAAAGATCAATAAGTTTTTGACATCTGATCCTGAGTCAGTCTGATGGAGGTGAGAGGTGCTGTTAAAGTTACTAATGGTTAACTGACACATGTTGCAAAAACTTGTCTAAGAAAAAAATCTTTATTTATATAAAAACAAAAAACAACAGTATTACCAGTTACATACTTCACTGAAAAAGCAACTGCTCAGAGCCAAGGCAGGTGTGAATGGAACGTCTTAATTTTACATGGATAGGCAACAGTACAAATATACCATGTGTGTGAAGAGATTCAGAAAAAACAAAAACTAAAAAGATTGGTCTCTTTTGTTTTTAAAAACATGGTAAAAGTTGAAATTAAAATTAAAATACAAAATAACCCAAAAACAATTGCATAATGCTCTCATCCATAGACAAAGCCCCAAAAATAAAATAAAAAGCAGACACACAGAGGACAAAACAAAGGGGTCAGACCTGGATTTCAATCAAACAACTTTCTCCCAAATCTGTAGGAAAACTCGAGTCTCCTCTGAGTAACAAAATCCTCTGAAATTCATATTTCTAAATAGATTTAGAGGTGCAGGTATAAATGGCTACATGGCACGCTTATTTGAAAAGTGAGGAGCGCGTTGACCTTGTGTTTTTTTTCCGACAGGACTGGTTCAATTAGTGGTTTACATGTAGTGTTTGCTCCCAGTACCAGGTTTGATACGCTGTACTGGATGAGTCTGCTGAACCAGAAGCAAAGAAAAAGAGACAGCAGCTAGGGGAGGATTACAGAGGCAGCAGGAACATAAGACAACTTAAAGTAATAGAGGACAGTCGGACATTAATGATGTTTTGCTCTGTGCAAGCAAAAATATTACTCAAAAGAAATAAAATAAAAAAAAAGGTCCATACTCATTTTGACAATAAACACACAGTCACAGGTTTAGCATTTGACAAAAATACACACAAACCGTTTCAGGTCTGTGCTGATCCCACAGAGAGAAAATAACTCTAGACAGGAAAATAACTCCTATATAAACATTCTCCATCTACAGGGCAGCCTCGGAGTGCAGACAGCCTCCCAACATTACCAGGAAAGGGACGAGTTAAATTAATGAGCCAAAACTAATGCAGTCGTCCTGTTTCACGTTTATATACAGTAGAAACCCTACAGAGCTCTAAAACGGATGCAGGGGCTGGCAGCAACATAGTGACCATAATTATTTGATTACTTAGTAGCAGGAAAAAGAAACGGAAACAGCAGGATGACGGCTGCAGAATTAAGTGATTGTCAACAAAGGTGATTGCCTCAACAGAAGACAACTATAATTTATGAACTGAATACATTTCTGCTGCTACAGTTGGATGAAATAGGTGTGTGTTTGCGGTCTGCAACTCTTTTGCCTGCGACACGACCATTCTTTGGATGCTTATCCTCATCTTTTCATCCCAGCTGCGTGGCGATAAGAGAGGAGCTTAAAGAGAGAGGAGAGGAGGAGACGGCGTCCATGTCCGCCTCACCTCAGTAGCAGTGGTAGGGCAGAGGCGGCCCAGTCTGGGTGATGCACACTATGAGTTTTTCTGGAGGAAACAAAAAGCAAAAAGGATTTAAAATTTTAGAGAAAACAAAGAGTATTTATAAATGACACATGACAAAGACAATATGGCTGCTGCACACTGGTGCTGTCACAAATACCCAACGAAAATAAAAAATATTTAGGTAGAGAATTTATGTGGATGGAAATGGTTTCTGCATCTTTTTTTTTTTTTCACCTCTACATTTTTTTTAGGTTAATTTTAAACTTCAGAACTTAGCAGGTTAAACATAGCCTCATGATTATAACCTACATGTAAAATCACTCAACTCATGTACAAGCAATAAACTTCAGACTTTTCATCGAACATCAGGACCTGACAACAGGATCAACCCTGTTTTTAATAAAAATTATTAACTTATTATGCCAAACACAGATCTGATTCACCAAAATTTAGTTTATATATATCTATTATCTGATTTTAAACCTTTTCTTTTTTTTTTTTATAAAAAAAAAAAAAAAAGGGACTTTAGAAATCAGATTAACTCTGGATGAACTGACTGGCAATATTGTTTTAAAAAATTCCATACTTTCCATAAAAAGGATAAAAATAGCAAGAGTACAAAAAAATAAAAAAAATATCCAGATTAATTTTCTAATATCCAGAGCTAACTTGAAACTAACTTAAAACTATCCTTTTAAACTAAATCATGTGCTTAAATTGGCAACCAGACTTTTTCATTCAGTTTTTTCAAGACGTTTTGACGCCTATCCAGGAGTCTTCGTCAGTTCTGTTGGCTCGCACCACCAGAGCAATCTATAGTTGGAGTGCTGATGTATTTAATCAGGATGGAGGGCCATCCTCCAAACCAGATTTCAAGTCAGATGCAAATCAAATAGCCGCCCCGTTGTGCATGGGCTATGTGATTGGTCTTTTGAATCATAATGTCTTTGGGATGAGTTCCATGACTGAATTGTAAATGCTTGGAAGCTGTAACCACAATCCTCACCCTCTGTTCAGTGATCGTTTCTCTCTGGTGTCAAAACATCTTTCTAATTTAAACCCGTTTGGGGTTGCCATGACGCTGATGACTGAGGATTTACACAGGCACCCTGCTTAGGAATCTCCCTAAAACCCTTGTGATGTTTTATCAATTTTGTGGTAAAATATGCATCTTGAAAACCTTTTTCCAAATAAGACAAAAAGAAAGGGGTTCTAAAATACACAGTAAATAGAACTTAATTTCCCTCACAGTTTAATCCTTGGTTCCCCTCCAACAGTACATTTTTTTCCTACCACAATTGAAATATTAAGGTGTTGCCAGAAAATAATTTGAATACTAGGACAGTTCAAAAACAATAATCTGCATAGATAAAAAAGTAAATAAAAATACAATACAGACAATTTAAATCTTTGTACACACTGGAGCACAGCGTGCAGTTTGAGCTTCAACCACAAGAGAGCGCTCCTATACACAAGAGGGAAGGAATTTGAACACAAAGTCCCAACTAGAGCTGAATAGATTAGTACAGTCTCCTCTGCCCTCATAAAAAAAAAGAAAAACATAAGGTTTAAATCAGAAGAATTTGAAATCAGGATTTTCCAATAATAAAATGATCTGCATCATTCAGTGACGGCAAAAAAACAAAAAACAAAATTCAAATATTGTCAGAGTGATGATACTGTGACAACACCACTGCACACTTATTAAAAAAAATGCTTCAAATCTATATTATCAATCTTTAGAAAAACCTAAATTATCCCACTACATAAAAAAAACTAAATTACAAAAAGCACAAGGACCATCTCAGGAGCATACTACAGAACATCGGGGTATCACAGATCTAAACAAGACCACAATAAACCTCCACCTCTGTCCCAGAACGCCACCGTGGATTTAGAGCAGTTTATTCGAGGGTCTGAAGTAATAGAAGACAAAAGAAGCTCAGAGTACATCATGCAGGATTAGAGGTCAGTTGGACATACCATGCTGTTACATGCAGAAGGGGGGTAGAGGGGAGGGGGTGGGGCTAACCATCGTAGGAGTCCAACAGAGGCAAGGAGCCCTTTCTGCTCCCATACACGCCCCGCTGAGGGACAGAAAGAAAAAGAAGGCAGAGAGGAAGTGAATGTGAAAGAAGTGTCAGTAAATGTTAAAGCAAAAAGGCCACAGTGAGGAAATATTGCAGTAGGGTAGTAGTTCAGGGGTTAGTTAGGTCAGAGCAGGAACAGAGCTTTAAAAGTACCGGTAAAGTGTCTATGGTGTCATCCAGAGTGTGCCTCCTCTCCTTCTGGTCCAGTGTAGAGTAAGCATCTGAAAAAAAAAAATAAATCCAAACATTTAGACAGCAACTTTAAGAAGTTAATAAAAAAACCCAGAATTAAATATACTTACCAGGGCCAAGATCATTCATGGGAATCACATCCCTCTTCTCTCCTAAAAACAAACAACAATGTCAACACTTTCTTCAAAGGGTTTGACTTGGATTTACGGTCAGCAGCACTGATCATTTCCATACCTCTGTCCAGTAAGGGTGTGGTACTATCCTCGTAGGTGCCGTTGGCTCTGGTGCTGGGTCCATTGGTGGTTGTGGTGCTTGGATTCAGGTTCACCATGAAGTCGACCTTCTTCCAGCCTTCTTTCTCAAGCTGCCGGCGCAGCTCTTTGTGAGCCCAGATGAGCTGCAGCACCTGAGCGGCTCCTCGGACCTCACGATCAGAGCTTTTGCTGCGAGAAGCCCAAAGATTAATCATGAATGGCTGCTTATCTTATCTTAGACTGCAAATAGCTGACGTATAGGCATCATATTTGGATTATTAAAAAAACAAAAAACAATTACTTATTTCTGGATTAAGAGATGATGACAGATGTTATCCTTTGTTTTAGTTATTTCTACATTCAAACTTACTTTTTTTTGACCAAACTCTAAGATTTATCTTTTTTTTTTTTTTTTTTTTTTTTACTGCACTAGTGGCTCGTTTTTTTCGACAGTAGGTTGACAGGAAAGGGGGTATGAGAGAGGGAGAAACATGCAAGAAATGATCACAGGCCCGGATTCAAACCCCGGTCGCCCACGTCGAGAACTAAGATGTTAGAAAAATATGTTATACCACTGATCGTATTACAATTCTTTAGCGCCATCGACACCACTTTGGTTTAAGGCCTAAACGCACAAAAACAAAACAACAAATCCACTCTTGAGCTAGCATAGCTAGCTAGCTTCCTTAGCTAACCAAAGAATCAGCAACCCTAACTGAAACCAATTGATTTGTTTTCTATATAGAGTAGTAAAATCTTGCATCTTGTCCCCATAAAAATCCATTTGCAAACAATAGATTTTACTGTATGCAGATAATGTGGTCATTTCTACACATGCCTGAACTACAGAGCAACCTGTAGACTGGTAAAGATTTATGTCAAAGCGACATCCTGGCTAAGACTATGCTGTTTTATATCAAATATAGATTGAACGTTCCTCTAAAATTACAATGCAGATCTTAATCGGGAAATTTTGATCTTAGGCGTTTCAAATCCAATTTTGTGTTTATGTCAAATGTTTTCTTCCAAAGTAATGGTAGAATATGTCCCTTATCAAATGATAAAAGCAGAGAGACATCTTCGGTTTGTAGATGTTACTCACTGAAGTCATAAAGCTACATTATAAGCAGATAGAAAATATACTTCCAAATCTGTTCTCAAAGCAGGTAAATAAGGAGTCTGTCCCAGATGCAAACTGACACAAAGTCCGGATTGTGTCGGACATGGTTCTTCTCATAAACACCCTCTGGCTACAAAAGGGAAGTAAAGCTAAGGGTATAAAAAGGTCATCATCCCTGCATCACAAAAAGATGAACCCAGTGCTAGATTCTGTAAGGGAAATATTGGATTAACTAAGAATTCTCTTAAGTAGGGAGCAAAAGAGCTGGATTTTCAAGAGTATTCTCCAACATCATCTCTGGATTGTTCTTAAATCTAAAATGCTACAGCACTTACCCATCCTTAGTGATGAGGACCAGCTTATCAATGCCTGAAGAGGATCTGAGCTGCTTTGCTGCCTCCAGGTTGTTGCCAAGAACCTCAGTCAGAGTGCTCAGTACAGACACTGTCGTTTCCTCAGTCAGATTACTCCTGGATTGGCCATGCCCTCCAGGCAAGATGGCCACAAGACTTGGCACAGCATGCACACCTACAGGAGAACCAGACTTTAATTTTACAGCACTAATAAACACTGATACATGTTTCTTAGTAAACAAAAAAAAAAAAAAAAAACAATTTACCTAAGAGATCACAGTTGCGACTGTCAATAGCAAGATTCCTCAAGGCTCCAGACATTGCCCGAACGACACGATCGTTATTATGACATAGAAGTTCTGTGATCAAGGGAAGACCCTTTTCCAGACGCACATTGGTCCGTATATACCGACCAAACTGAACGGAAGCAGAGACACACATCATTATTTGAACAAGCAAAGCTTTTCCTAAGCTTTACAGCAGGATTCTGTTAGATACTTACAGTCCATCGACCGGCGCACAGGTTTTGAATGGCGCCGGCTGCCGCCTCAAGCACAGAGGGGTTCTTGCTTTCTTTGAACAGAGATGTGTAAACACGGACTACCTCTGGCTGGTACAACAGCTCGTAACCTGACGCCAAGAAAACAAAGCTTTTAATGTTTAGCTAAAGACATGTTGAAAGCTTAAAAAGGGGTTTGTGTGTGAAATACTTTTTTATAAACACCTTTATTATAGAGTTAAAAACAAATACATGAATACATTTTATGTTTCTGCTTTATACACTGACCAGATCCTTTCTGGATAATGAAGTCAATTGATTTGCAACAATAAATTGTAAAAAGAACAAATACAAAAATATGTAAAACAAAAAGTAAGAAAAAAAAAAGTTCACATTTGGTTCTTTTTTGAACTCATCAAGTTGTTTTTTGCATTTAAACATCAGCAAAATTTGTTTCTATGCGTTTTCAAAAAGCTAATTTCTTTGCTTAAGAAAAAACATTTCAGCAGATTAGGTTTAAGCTAAACTTTTCTAAAGATTTAGATTTTTGAGTACAAAAAATTCAGTGAAATTTTTTTATTTATTTTACAAATAGATTATATTCTTAGTTGATAAAACAGATTTTAACATTTTTTAGACCTTTTAACCTCAGCTTGAGCTGTATTAAAAGTTTAGACAGGTTATTTAATACCAATTATTTGGCAAAGACAAGATATCCTTATGGTTTTAGGATGATACACAGACAAAACAAGCCTGATCAGTCTTTAAACTCTTGAGCCTGCTTTCTAAAAAGAAATATATTTAAAAGAATAAAAATAATATACATTTTCTTTGAATGGCCCTTCGAGAACAAAAAGTGTCTGAAAACTACAGCCGTACCTTTAGCAGGTGTTGCCCTCTTTGGGAACTCATAATTATCTGCACTCCCATTGTCTCCATCCTTCTTTCCTGCAAGTCATTTCAGAAAATCATTTTCCTATTCATACCATAAAAACCCCATGCATGATATGACTGTTCTGCCTTTTACTTTAGTCAATTGCTTCTAGAAAGATGAACATGTAATATGATGCAAGCACCAACAGCATGCAGTTTTGCTTCAGTGATGAGCATTCATGCCATTATGAGACAAGAAAAGTCCTTGGTCAGATGCCCTCGTTTCTCAGAGATATTTGTTAAGCATTAGTAAGATGGGTGATTGCAGCAGTCTTTTAGCATTCATGACAACAATACCAAGAGGAAAATCTTACCTTTGGAAAACCACTCATCTAAACACAGCGGAGACAAAGGAAGACATGAAGGAGGGTGGGAGGACAGAAGGAGCAGGGGGGGAGGAGGGAAACAGTGGCAAAGTGTGAAAAACAGCAACAGGTGCTTCCGCCACCAGCAAGCTCAATCCAAACAGCAACTGCCTGTCTTTCAAACAGCAGATCTCTCAGACACAGAGGAGATGTTGGCCTTAAAAACATGTTGGACACTGACCTTTGCCCTTTCTGGAACCAAAGCAGCCTCCCTTGTTGGCCGAGGCTGGGCCCTGGTTTATTGGAGCTGCCTCTGCGTAGCGTTCGCAGCCGGGGACTTCGCGGTGAACCTGATATGAAAGGTTCCTCAGGAGGCAGACGCAATTCTCCACCAACTACAGGAAGAAAAGTTTGAAGAACAGACAAACGTCCAAGATTATGATAAATACCGCAGTGAGGGATAAAGACACTTCATGGAAGGGGAAATCGTTTCCAGGGGGAAATTACCTTATTATCCACATCTTTGCGGTTGATCTGTGACTGGACAATGTACATAAGAGAATCCACCAGCCCTGTGCATTCTCTCAGCTTTCGTCTGGCCTCACTCCGTTCTGAACTGACGTTCCTGTTGAAGGAGTTGGAAAAGTTAAGCAGTTTGTTCCCCATTTTTTCCGCTTCTTAAACTCTTATTCATCTAATACCTAAGGCAGCCAGCAGTGTTGGTCAAGGAGGTCTCCCACTCCAAATGCCGTGGTTTGCAACTCTCCTCTCCCCCGATGTTCCCTCTCTCCCACCCAGAGTGAGGAACAATCACCTCATCGGCTAGAGCATGCAAAGCATGGTCCACAATCTCCATCTTTACTGAATCATGGGAGGAGAGGTTCCACAAGGTGCCTACAACAGAATTATAGACTAATGAATTAATGCAAAAACAAAGGATTTGCAGACATTTATCTGAAACATTAAATGTTAAGTTTTTTGTTTTTTTAAAATACATTGCCTCTTCTTCTCCTGCTAGAAAACAATGTTATGTGAGTCTAAACCTGAGAAATGTAAGCAGATTACGTGGAACATCAAATCATCTGACATCTTTGAATAATGCAGAACTTCTTTACGGCCCCATTTTTATGCAGCATATGGAGATAAGGATGAAACGTGTGAAGTAAACCATTTGACTGATGAGGGCCGTCAGGGTGTGATGGTTTTTTCTCTAATGTCACCCTTTTCTCTCTCCATATTCACTCAATAAACTAAGTGTTTAGGAAAGAGTTTAACAGCCATTCTTTGTTGTTTATTTTACTGTTTAGCTATCTAAAAACATCACTTAAAACAACGCAGAGAGGCAGCGCACCTGTGATTGTGTCAGTGAGGTCCTGGTCATTGGTTTTCCTCAGCAACCTGACGAGGGCGGGGACTCCATCACAGTTCTTAATGGCTATCTTGTTATCAGCGTCCCGTCCAAATGAAATGTTCTTCAGCGCGCCACAGGCTGAGTGATGAACGTCTTTACTGGGATGGTCCAACATTGACACCAATGCTGGAATGCCCTTCAGGCGACGCACTTCTGACTTCACCTAAGGATGGAAAAAGTTCATGTAAAAACACTTGCAAAAATCCAATCAACAGAGCAGACAGTGAATCATGGATTGTAATGGAGGAATAGTCCACCTTATCATTTTTGAATGTGAGGTGCTGAAGGTAGGCAGCAGCGTTGGTCTTGACAGGATCCAGGCGGTAGTTCAGCATGGCTATAACCTCTGGTAGTTCTGGCTGCCTCCATGAAGAGGGAGGGGCCTTTCTCAGCGTGCTATCCAGTGAAATCATGCTACTCCCATCCATTGGTATGGGAACGGCCCAGGTATAGGGGTCCACTCCCCCCACATCTCCATCCAAAGTGTCTTCACAGCTCCTGCAGGTATCAGCAGGACATGACAAAATATTTAAGAGATTCCCAGAGCACAGACTGGAGATATAGTTTAACAAGTTATGTTTTACCTAAGTCTGCGTCTGTCCATTGCACCTGGACCCGGCCCAAGGCGTGGCATTGTACCGTAGCCTCCAGGGTGCATAGGTGGAGGCCCCATGCTGTAGTCCTCATACCCCATGCTGCGTTGATCATCCTCCAGACCGTAGTGGCCGATGCCATACCTCATCTCCAACGCTGAACCCAAAGCCCTCATTCCTCGACTGACCTGGGGCTGCGGAGCGTACGGGTCCAGCTGCTGGCGGCTGGGGGCTCTGTAGCCAGAGTCCAGAGTTCTGTAGCCATCTACAGGCCTGGGGGAGAAAAGGGGAAGTTATGGAGACTGAAAGCTGAAATGCATGCCTCTAATGGGCTCAAACATACTCTGCACGTTTCAGTACAGCTATTTTTTTTTTTTTTTTAGGCTTTAAATAGTAACTACATAAAACCGTTATTAATCTAACATGACATCAGATGACTGCCATTCACCGGTTCACTAGGGAGTGGAGTTACCAGCTGCTCAGCATCAATATTCTTAATTAGACTTGCATCGGCCCTGCTCAGGAATCTATTTTCAGGTGATCGGTAATTATGAAGATCACCAATTTTAAGTGTTGGTCGTTGAGTTGTTTATTCATTTTTTCTGAGAGAACTTGCATCCATCTCATATGCTTGTTTCCCAGTTGTTTTGGTCAGAGCACTTAAAAAAGGGGAAGAATGATCTAAAAGCAGAGGAAAGAGGGGGAATCTAACTGAGAACACTGGAAGATAGAGCACCACAAGCAGGATGAGGAGGCTAGCTGTGCTGCCCTATGGTGCCAAGGAAGAACAGCAGTAGAATGGGGGAGTCCGCTGGGCAGCTGGCACGTCAAACACGGAGACAAGGCAGCTAAAGAGGAGAGTGATGGAGCTCAGCGCTAGATCTGTGAAACGTTGCGGAAACAGAGGCAGGGCGGGAAGAGGCTACAACTGACTAAAGCTAACTGTGATGGACTGAAGGAGCACGGCAGGGAGATCGGATAAATCCCCTGGGGAAATAGTAAGCTTAACGTGCAGTGCTAAAAGTGCTAAATGGCAGAGGATACTGCTGGCCGGGAGTAGGACAGCGGTAGTTTGGAGAAGCCTGCCAGGAAGAATGAGCAGGGAGAGGCTACAGCTAACCCAGCCTAGACTTTAGAGCAGGGCTGACCAACCTATTTAAGGTTGAGGGATATTTCATATGTACCGCGTCATAGGAAGGGCTACAATACTGACATATGAACTGGAGGGATCAGAGTTAATCTAAACTTCATACATAATAAGCATATTTTTATTGTTTATTTTAAATCCTCATTTTTTTTGTTATTATTTTGAAATCTCTCTAAATGCTTTAAAATAAAGAGCAACAGAATTAAAAAAAATTCAATCTTAGCCCACTGATGCTGTGGCACCCCATGATGACCTCTTCAGGATCAGAGGAGCCTGCTGGCAGGGAGCGTATCAGAGCGGGTAGAGAATGCGACTGCTGGTCGGTGTAGCAATGTAGGACTAAATTAAAACTGCTCTTTTAAAAAGCCACATAAAACATTTTAAAAGCATCCCCGTGTCATCCTTTGTAAATATTTTTCTTCCATTTTGATTAAAAAAAGTGCAAACTTGTCTTTTATCGTCTCTCAGTTCCCAAATCAAAATGAATCATCGGCACCAATAGAAAAAGACCAAATGAGAACCGTAACAGGGATGGGATTTATATGACCAAATCTTTCTTGGCTTCTTTATTATGAACCAAGAAAAATCTGAGACGTGTAGTTAATGGCTAATAAGAAGCCAACAGCGAAGCAGATTTCAGCCATTTTAAAAACCCCAAAACAAAGTGGTTCGTATGAATGCCATTTCATACGAACAAGGCAATCATTATATATAGATTGATAAACTCAGAAAATGGTGGTATGTGGTGGCTTGTCTACCAGAGAGCTTCCTGTGTCAAATGCACTGAGAACGGTTCGTGTCAAGCTTATGCTCTGCTGTTCTCATATCTCAGGGGTAGATCAGATGTTTCAGTCTGATTGTTATACAACATAAGCATAAAAAAAGGGAACTACCGTGTTTATTAATCCAGTTGGTTAAATGTTATAAATAGTTAAATAACCCCTTTGTAGGAACTAAGATGCAGTAATTACTGAAATAAATTTGCAGACTCATTAGTGGTAACCACCATTGGTTTTGCTCTCATCCTGAAATACATCTGCAAGACATGCAATTTTTGTGTACTACTATCAGAAGCAGAGCAGATGTTCTGTTTCAGCTGCTCGTTTTTTCTACCTGTATCGCTCGTCCATGTGAGAGCCTCTGCTCAGACTGGGGTAGGCCTCAGACGGCGGACCCGGCCGGTAGTCCTCATACCCGCCCACAGGACCGTAGTGATAATTTCGGGGTACAGTTGCAGTGGGGTAGTCGCCAACCCCAGTGGGCCTGTAAGGCCTGTCCAGCGTGGCACTGTGGACGCCCATACCAGGCGACATCATCCCATCAATAGACGAATGAGAGGGTGGAACTGTACGAGAAATTGGTTTCTTCATCTGAAAAACAGAGTGAGGGAAAATATGTTAAAATGCGTTTAGAAAGTTTCATAAAAGTAAAAAAAAAAAAAAAAAACTGCAGTTAGTGGCTGTACCCCATTATTCATCCCCCGGGTGGTTCCTTCCTCAGAAAAGACCGAGTGTACTTCATGGGATTCGTCCTCAGGTGTGTAGCTCTCATCAAGAGCTCCATGTGCAGGGTCCACCATTCTGTACTGTAACAGGAGCAGCTCACAAATTAACCACAAACAAAACAAAGAGATTAAGGGTAAACAAGAAAAATAACATAAAACCAGACCTGTGTGCCGTTTATGTATGAGTCGGTCAGCTTCAGACGCTCTATGTCTGCATCCCCTAAACGCCCGTTCTAAGACAGACAAAAAAAAGTACTGAAAACACGATCTTATACATCCTTTCAGTTTGCTGTACTGTTGAATATTTATAGTCGACGCTGTGCTTTGTTTTAAAAACAACCAGAGTCGCTTTAACTTCTGTTAAAGCCCATTCGGTGCAGATAGACCCCTCCCTCGGTCTGTAAATCAGCACCACACAAAAAAAGGAAGAACATTTGGGAATGCAGGCGGTCGTTCTTCTTCCTCCTGCTCTGCACTCTTACATAATCAGCTCTTGCTCCACATTTAAAATCAACTGCAACCAATATTTTCACTCTGAAGTTAGATAAACTGCCTCAGATATGAGACAGCATGTGAGCACAGGTCGGTTTGTAAATCTTTTCCAGTCATTATTCAGCCACCCATGGTTACTATCAGTTTCTCTATTACAGTGATGGTGACTAAGAGGACCTCTAATCATCAAACACTGACTCATGACTCACTTTAAGTACATCATACAGGGTTAGATGTTATGTCTAGAAAAGAGGAAGGTCTTATTCTAAAACTAGGGGAAGTGGAGGCAGTTTTTTTTTTTTTTTATGTCCAGAGGGGCACACTTCCTCTACAGGTCGTCATTTCTAGTCTAAAAACCCTGACGAACTTTGTCCCTGCTGGAGTCACTGCGATTTGCTCCATCACCGTGACAACAATTTCTTCCTTCTTTTTAGGAGAAGGCCATTTGGTTACGAAACCAAAACCGCTTAAGTTTTATGATGCAACCCTCCACCCACCTGAACATATAAATAAATCCAAAAAGTTTCTTTAAACTTATCTAATGGAGAGAATCTAATCCAAGTTTCTTTTCTCTCAACTTGAAGACATCCCTGCCCTTCTGAGGGTCATCATCTCTGATAACGAAACCTTCAAGACACAAAATAATCCAGAAACTAAACCCAATCTTTGTAAATAAAAAATAGTTCCTTAGATTAAACCTTAAGCAAGAAAAAGGGTTTTTTTTTTTTGTTTTTTACTAAAGTCACATCGAATCAGAGTCTATCTAAAGACCTTACTGCTATAAGAAGCTGAGATTACGGTGCATTAAAGGAAAAAGTAGAGATGAATGTTAAGAGGAAATAACAGGATAATCTTAACACAGAAAAAATGTGCTTCATGAGAATGGGTCAAAATATAATTACAGAAGTTTAAATTAGGAATATGTTGAGTTTATAAAAATGACAATGCTGGCATCTGGCTTCTTCCTTTAAGCAAATGAGGCAAAACCAGACAATCTAATAAAGGATTCTGACAGCTGTTTAAAGTTTCTTTAAACTTATCTAATAGAGAGAATCTAATCCAAGTTTCTTTTCTCTCAACTTGAAGACATCCCTGCCCTTCTAAGGGTCATCATCTCTGATAGCGAAACCTTCAAGACACAAAATAATCCAGAAACTAAACCCAATCTTAGTAAGTCATCAGAGTCTATCTAAAGACCTTAGTGCTATAAGAAGCTGAGATTACGGTGCATTAAAGGAAAAAGTAGATAAATGTTAAAGAGGAAATAACAGAATAATCTTAACGCTTCACAGAAAAAATGTGTTTCATGAGAATGGGTCAAAACATAATTACAGAAGTTTAAATTAGGAATATGTTGAGTTTATAAAAATGACAATGCTGGCGTCTGGCTTCTTCCTTTAAGCAAATGAGGCAAAACCAGACAATCTAATAAAGGATTCTGACAGCTGCAAACTTCTGTTGTTTTTCTTTAGCAACAATTTGAATAGCTTTTAATTCACACTGTCAGCCAAAATAAGCCATTTGAATACATCAGCACAGGCACCACAACATTTGGATGGAGATTGTTCTACATTTTAAAACATATTCTAACAGTTAACACCCAACATTTAGACAGCATATACGTATACAATCTGAGAACAAAACTAAAGACTTCAAGAACAACTAAATAAACACACATCAAATTATATTAGGAGATTAAGCTGAGATAGATAGTAAAGTGCTAGGATCTGGTAAAAAAGAAAACAAGTCTGGACTTCTTTTTTATGCAAGACTAAATGACACATGCACAACCGACGGGGTCATTTCATCATGCTGAAGGAAGAGGGGAGCATTCCTGAAACGCCATAACAGGCAACAAAAGATGTACATGGGTGTTAAAGAGAACATCCGGTGAGTGACAGAGAGCTGAAGTGTGATGGTCATCTCAAAAATGCAGATGATGGGAGTACAAAGGCATGCATCCATTATCTGCAAGCAAGAGCTTAAAGAGAAACTCTAAACGCAAACACACAACAGCACAAGTTTGCTGAGTTTTGATGATAAGGAAGTGGAGCCGACAAGAGAAGGCGAGAATGAATGATGGGATTTAAATGCAAAAAAAAGAAAAAATTAAGATGCCGTGGATACATTAAATCCATGGTGATGGAAATGGGGAAGCAAAAGGTGGGAGAAGCTAGAGGATGAGGATGTTTTGGATTCTTCTGGGCGTGTTACCTGTGTGTGAGGGAAGGGGTGACCCAGCGCCGTGGGGCTGGTGGCGGGGAGGCCGACTCTCCTCCTCTCCTCCTCCAGAGCCCGGCTCAGCTGTTCAAACTGCACCTCCTGCTCCCTGACTGACTCCAGCAGAGCCGCTGCGTTCTCACACTGCTCCATACACACTGACCAGCCCAAGCGGTGAGAGGGGGGCATCAAATACAACCACACAGATACAAGGAGAGGGGTTCGAAAAATTACAACCGGCACCCCAAGAAAACACGAGCTGGATCTGATCACCCAGGAGTTTAGCTTTTGATTTATGTTAAACGTAAAAAAAAAACAACAAAAACATCTCTAGTGACTCGTTATGTCAGAAGTTCCAGATAGCACAACAGCTGGCCTCATTTTTACCCTCAGCAGGGAAAGAGCATTAAAAAAAATCATTAAGACATATCTGACACCTATGAAAAAAAACATGCTCTAGACTACAGTGGATTGTTGAAATATGGACTTTCATGGTATTCCCACTCCCACACATTAATATCAACATAGAATACTAAATACTCTCAGTTTGTCTAGATTGAAGTCAAACTGCATAAAATCAAAAACACACAAAATAAAGATTCTTAAAAAAAATTATGGTAAAAATATGAAATGTGGTAATCTGAAAATGAATTTAATAGTTCAAACTAGGGCTGAAACAATCAGCGTAATCATGATTAATCAGTTATTCAGTTAATCAACTAATTTAGTAATCGATTAATCGTTAACTGGAGTACAGAGGTTTTAAAATATGCCTTTAGCTGAAAGAGCGACCCAATTAGAGCATTTATTATACCAAAATTGTAAAAACAATAAATAAATATTGCGCTTTTAAGACAAAAATACCTTTTTCGTCTGTCAATATGTTCTATACAGAGCTCAAGTGGAAGGGTTTTAGTTTCAAATGGTTTTATTTCATAAAAAGTCTTCTTTACGGAGCCTTTTGCTTATCCGATTATTGATCGATTAATAGAAAAAAAAAGTAATCAACAGATTAATCGACTTGCAAAATAATCATTAGGTGCAGCACTAGTTCAAAGAGTAATTTCTTTTTTTTTCCTTTAAATGCATTTCCACTGTATTGCCATTTGTCTATTTTTACTTCAGGTCAATAATTCAAACTTTGTTTAAAAAGTCTTTCTTTCTGTTAGACAACAAGGTCCAGTAGTTATAGATTACTAGTATTATAGAAATTCATTTTCATTTAATTTCAAATTACATAAGTATAAATGTGATTAAAATAAGCAAAAAAAGTAGAACTTTATGTTGGGGCAGCTTTAAGGGTACGAATGACTGCTTAGTAAAATGATTGCATTGAGTTTCTTTAATAGGGGCAGCAAAATTATTAGAGTTGGACCCTCCATGTTGCTCTATGAACCTGATGTGCATACTTCAAAGAAAGACAGAACTATTTGATCAGTTTTAGTTTTGAAAGTTAAAACACAGCCTTTTGCTTATAACCACAGCAATCTGATGCAAGCTAAAAGCATTTAAAACATGGTGGGTTTTTTTTTCTCTTCTAACATTTTTAACAGATCTATGTCAGAGGTTTGAGGCTCACAGTCTACATTTCCGTTACCAAGAATTTTGGACATGTTTAAAGCAAACACTAAAAAAAGCTTCAGTTCTCACAAAATGTCCAGTTTCAACACGACAGTAAAACACAGAAGCCTCAATATGTTGGGGACAAAGTAGAAACTATGTGATGCATCAAGTCAGAAATTTTTTACCGAATATTAATGTCTGTAAGAACACTGCAACAATGCACTGTTTTAATGCAATTGTTCAAAGACAAATGGCAGCAATGCATCACTATATATTAAACAGTTATGCATTAAAGCTACAGCTGGATGCTGCATGCATTATACAGTAGTTTAACCCAATGTTGCCTGAGCAGATGACCTAACTTACATAACTTAACATTTGAGTGTGGTAGGTTTTAGACAGTGTTTTAACTGTAAAAAGCAGAATGGCTAAAAATGTTTGCAACTTCCAAACCACTTAAATAAAGCTAGTGTATTTTTCTAGCCTTTTCCCCATAATGGTATGCATTTTACCAGCAGAACAACAAGCTTTAACCCTTTCATTGAAAAAAAAAAGCAATTATTCTGTACATTTCTGAAAAATCAATCGACTGGCATTTTTACTGAGGTAATAATACTATTAAAATGTCTGGTATGTACCGAGTGCAGAACAGCGACAAGAGAAACTCAGACACTTCAGTGTTCCAGTTAATGCACAATTATAAATAAAAGAGTATATTGATCCATCAGCATACTGTTAGCTCCTGCATTCAGATCAATTAACAAGCTCTACAAACACAGTTCATTTCAGCTTGAAAAATGAAGTTGCCTCTTCAGGATTAATTTTAAAGCTTCATTTTTTTTAGGGAACTATATGACAGAAACTTATAAGCGAATTTACTTCATTCTGTAAAGCAATGTTAGATGAAACTAAGCAACACAGAGTTAAATTTCTGTTGAAAACAACAAAACTACTAAAATAAGGTGGACAAAGTGCATTGATTCAAAACAAGAAGTTTTTTCAGAGTGGTTAAGAAGAAAAAAAAACATCTAAAATCCTGTATATGAACCTTTACCTGTAGGCGTGGTTTGGTAGAAGAGGTGAGGGATCACGCTGCGCTCAGAGACGGGGCTCTAGTGGAACATGTGTGGAAGGCCTCTCCAGCATCCAAGCAAAAACAAGAGGGGGGGGAGCAGGATGAGCTGCAGAGAAGGACCGGGAGAACAACAGAGTCAGAGAGGGCGAAATGTTTTCAGTGAAAGACTCAGAGTTTGAAAAACAACATCATGGTGAGAAAAAGCGTACATGCGTGTCAGCAGGGCTGCATTTGCACTGTGTGCAGAAAAAGCAGAGAGATGCACAGTAGTCCCAGCCTTTAGACACACCCTGTATTTACTCAACATTTAGCCTGCATACAGTAGCTAGCTGTGGGAAGCTGACCAACCTGCAGCTCTTTCTTAGCCACAGAAAATTTCCCTGTCAGCATAAAAGGAAAAGTATGTTTTTGCGATTGAAACAAGCCACAAAAAACTCAGATTTCTGTCTCCACTACAATCAATTTTTATCTGTGTGTATATATATATATATATTATATACACACGCACATACATACACGCACACAACAGATCACTCTGATTTTTCTTAGTTCATTAAATAAGCTTCTAATTATCCGCTGTTCAATCTTACATGTTGTTATAGCTCAAACAAACAGCTCAAAAAGCAGACCATGGAGAATCTGATGCCCTTATCTGCTGCTCCACGCTTCACCGCAGCAGCCTGGCTCCACAGAGGTGAATCAACCATGGATTGCCACACACACCTGCCAGACTGGTTTGACCAGATAGGGGAGGGGCAGCCGCTTGATTCCTGTTTTTCCTTTACCCTCTGCTTATGGTCAACAAGCACAGACACACACCAAAGAGTCTGGAGTTTGGGCAACCAATACGAGCGCACATTTACACTTCAATCAGCAGGTTCTCTGGAATCTGACAGTCAGAGCGCTAACAAGTGCAAACTGTGAGACAAGCAGAGGCATAATGAGAGCAAGAGATGGTCATGAGTGACTCACAGTTTCACCTTCCTCAGATTGAGCAAGTCCCCCTCAGACTCCACAATGTCCCTACGGGGCACCTGTTACGACATAGTTATATCTTTACTAGGAAAAGCTGTTGTGCATCTTTATCTTGGAATCAAATTACAGTATTCTCAGCTTGGGGTGTGGCAAGAGTGGAAATTTCTTTGTAAAAAGGGAGAAAAGGAGGCAAGTCTAATGGGAAAAGGAGCAGCATCAAATTTCCCAAGGAGGAAAAAAAAATCATCAACAACCACAAGCTGGATTTACATGTGGGTTAGGAGAGACTGACAGGAAGACATGATGTCACAAACCAAACGCTCAGCTGGAGTCACTGCCTCCTACCTGAACGAATACCAAACTGCCGCTCTGCTTCACACATAACCATATTTGGTCAGAGCCAGGAAAGGGCAGATTTGATCCACAGACAGACAGATAGGGCAGCGAAGAACAGCAACAAGCAGAAAGTTTCCCCCTCTCGGGTGGGAAAACAAAGGGAATGAGAGGGTAAACATGAGGATAAAAGGCCGGTACCGATAAAGGAGATAAGGTGGGGCTGGACGAATAGAGGGATAATAGCTAATCTTGCATTCCTGGCATTGTCTTGGGGCAGTTCAACCCAATAGCCCACCCACCCCTTTAATGAAAACCAGTGAAACAGCTAAGGACAAGTGGCTAATCACCATTCAGCTATCAGTGTTTACTTTTGTGGCATTTCAAGCCAAGTTATACGGTCGCTGTGACACAAGCGGTAGAAAATAAAAACCAACCACATATCTTTTTAGCCACCGTTTCCACTATCTATAAGCTCTGCCTCCATACACAAAGAAAAATAATCAGCTTCCAGAAGATGATATATATAAACCATGATTGTTATTTCTTGGCAAGCATATTAGGGAGAGGGATTTTGTAAGAGCGCAGAGTGTGTGAGTGACTGGAGCCTAACCGCAGGCAGGAGGGAATTTGCAGCTGTCAGTCTGGGAGGTTGGTGGGAACAATGTGAAGTTTGTGCAACTGACAGAACAGACACAAATGTGAAAAGAGCCGGGGAGCAGAGATAACATCAGCAGACACATGTGAGTAAGCCTGTATGCGTCTGTCCATCTAAAGGGGATAAATTTGGTTCCAACTTGGATACCAACCACTTCTGTCTCTCTCTTTTGCAGCTGTTAGTTTTGGCCTTGAAAGTTAGAAGCGCGTTTCGCCAAACAATGAAAACAATCAATGTAGTCCCATTGCCCCGACCCTCCCCTTTCCCTTCACGGCAGCTTCCTGAGAAACAGGATGTTATGAATTCAACATCAGAGATGAGCTTCTGGCTCCCCGAAAAATAAAAAATAAAAGAAATTCCACGACAGAAGCGCTACTTATAGAGCCCACAGTGATGGGGCCATGATGGCCAAGCTTCTACATCGGTGCGCTCCGTGTCTTTTACAACAATAATGCAACGACAATACACCTCCTATGGTGCTACATCTTCATCTGACAGGTAGGGAAAAAGAGAAAGTGATTATAGAATTAAAATCACCCAATTGCTGATTTATTCCATCCATAAAGAAAAATAGTTCTATATTATTGTCAATGAATGAGTCTCAAAAAGTAAAAAATAATTAATATTTAAAAAAATTTAAGAACTCTGATAACGTTTCATATTAGCTTACAATGGGATAAGGGGATTTTTCTTAAATGTTCAGCTAGAAAAACATCAAGCCTTGGTTGCTTATTAAATAACTTTGTGGCAATTCTATGAGCAACTTTAGTGAGATTTAATGACCATTATTTAAAGACCTAGATAATTTAGACAAAACTAACTTTCTTCAACTCTGTCTAGTCTAGGATTATACACAGTTTATCTTATAGTATGCAGAAATCATCACGTTAAACCCTAAAGATCACACTTTCCAAACCAAACTCTTCTTAAATATCAACTTTATTAAAATCGTTGATAGTCTATGCTGATGATGATCATGTGAGCATTTAACAATTTTAGCAGAAACTGGCATATTCTGAGAAGTTAATGTGAAAAAAAAATTGTTTGAACAGGTCATATGCAGAAAACTTTTCTAAATTATGAAATGAATTTCAAGAGACCAATCATTCTTATACCAGCAAAATGTTTTCAGATTTTCATACACAATAGAGCTAGATATATTCCCTTTTTAAATCACTGGTCACACTTTGTCCCTTAAGAGTCCCAACAGTGTGTCCGTACTTTTGAAGGGAACAAGAGCGCACAGAGGAAAGTTCATGCTCGCCCGTCCAAAGCTTGACAGTAACAAAAGTTCAAAACGACAAGCACGTTGCCTCCCAGGTCAACAACATCTGATTGAACCCTGACACACCACGAGTCATATACTCCCCATCTGATTCTGCATCCATCAGTCAGCATGACTCACTTAACCCTGTCAGAAGACATCTGTGACCATGCAACCGTCAATGAAGTCTTTGTCGACTTAATAGACTCCAGTTATTAAAATAAGCGCTCACCACCTGCTGAAACAAGAGATTCGCCGACAAAATTGCACATCTGGTCATAGGATATCAGGTAAACCAACACTGAAATTTGATGTCTAGTCAGCGTGATGCTAAAGCTGAGCAAGACTAGTAATGGGATTGAAGCTTTACCCCACTAATCCACTTACCTCTCCACACATACACATGAGAAGCTAACATGTAGGCACATATGCAGACACCCACTGCTATGGCTCTTTATGGATTAACCCAGAGTCCTTAAAAGAGCAGACACAATCACAGGCTGTGTTCAGAGCATGTGTCAGCAATCAAACAGTGGCTTGGAGACAAGTCGCCAGGAAAGCCCGGCGTGTGCTGTTATTAGTGGCGGCACCTGCAGATCAACAACAGACCTGAGCTTGTTACACCTATAGTTCAAACAGCCTCTGCATAAACATCCACCGGGACAGAGATAAAGCTCAAATTGAAGTCTCTGAACCACAATGTCCTACAGGTCTGCAAGAAACGTATGTTTACAAAGAGGAAAAAGGGCAGTTTATATGTTCAAACTCATGACGGTTATCCCCACCCATGCTTTTCTGTTTCGCCACTAACAAAACAAGTTCACACAAGACCTACCCAACAGGTTAGTGATGATTTCGGGGTTTTAAACAGACCACCACTAATACAGTTTACGGGAAATATATTGAACGACCAAATCATGCCTGAAAACACCAACCTTCAGGTTTATTCACCAACAGAAGCTATTGGGATTGATGAAACCTTCAAACATACATAAACTAATATCAGAACATCTAGCATGTGCACATGCCTCTTTAGACAACACAAGTCAAATGATCAGAGTTCATAAGTAGTGTGGAAATTTGGATTTCTCAGTATTTTTTCCGCTACAACATCCTTTTTTTTTTCTTCTTATAAGTTGTTTTTTTTCCTACTTGCTTTGATTCTGTTTTATTTTCCTATATTTTAATCATGTAAAGCACTTTGCATTGTCTTTGTGCTGAATTGTGCTATACAAATAAATTTGTCTTGCCTTCTTCATATAAAGAATAAACCAGGATCAATGTTGATTTCTGTAAAAAGTCACTAGTTTGTTAAAGCTTTTACTTTCCCAGCTGATCATCTCGATTATATCGCCTCTTGTGATGTGATCAAACCCAATAAACGAATTATTATTCATCCTTTTTGGCACTATTTAGTAAACTGCTCTACAAAAATGTGTTAAATGGCTTCACAGCTGCGTTTTAACTGCCAGCGCACATTTGCCAAAAGCATCACCTATCTTCCACATCATAAAAAAAGATGAAACGGTAACATTTATAATAACCATGTTAAATAGGCCAAAAATATGAGGTGCATAAATATAGCTTTGGAGCCAAAGCGCAAACCATGTCGAAATACAAGGATTTAGCAAACAAGTAGGAATCACAGATTATTTGCCAATATGGGTCACGAGCGCCGAAGAGGACGGCATCAAACAACCGCAATAAATAAACTTGACTGATATAAATGAAGACATTTTGTATTTTACTTACGTGGTCAGCACTGTAACATTTGAATCAGCTCGAATGAAAGCTCTAACAGCAGCAAAATGACCTGGGTTGGTCGTCTTGCAACGTTAGCATCACAAAAAACCCATCCGAGAGCACAGCTAGCGTTAGCATAGCAAACAATATTCGCTAAATAATCTTAACGGAAAGCCCAAATGGGGTTTATAGATACCCCATCCCTGTATTTCCTGCTATTTTACGTGGAACTGCTTTGCTATTTTTGTCGCACAGTGCATTGTGAGGTTTATCATTACAAAGTTTTATATTAGCATCGTTAGCTAATGTTAGCCACTGAGAGTCGTGCTCTTCTGTGGAATAAGCGACCACTCCTTACCAGCGCTGCAGTACCCCTCAAAATGTACCAGCCAAGGAGATGGAAGCGCAGATTACAAACAAACATCTGGGAATAATTACGGATTCACTCACCTGCTCAGGGAAAATTAGCCCCGACCCCTTCCAGGCTACTCCGTTTTTAGTGTTTTCTACCCAGTCGCCCCCTCCTTCCCCGTCCTGTGGGTCAGCCTTGTGGAAAAACCAAGCAACATCAGAGTTTTCTACCAAATGGAGGGCGGGATTTAAAAAATTTACGGTAATCACGGCGCACTTAAAAATGTATTGTACAGGTGTGCTACGTCTTCGCACAGCAGACAGGAATCAGACTACCTGTCTGGATCAAACAACGCTTTATGTGAGCAGGTCGGAGGAGTCAAATGTAAAATAGGGGGATTTAAGTTCGCCTCTGTCTCCTCCCATTTATTTCCGCCTCTGTACTCACGCTGATGTCATTTCATTGATTGCTCAAGAACAATAGTCATGGAGGAAGGAGCAGCATTCCACACTGGCACGAGAAAATGTACGGTACAAGAAAAAGAAAATAGAAAGCAAAAAGACAGAAAAATAAACATAACCATTACAGTATTTTTTTCTGAAGTCCACTTTAGTGTTCAGGGATATCCTGACTGTTTTCAAGGAAAGTTAAATATTAGATTCCAGACTTAAAATTTGAAGTTTTGACAATATCAAGATTTCAATACCCTTTAAACTAAAACCACTGGAATAACTGCCTTAACATCTATTACAGCTGTTAACTGATGGCCTTGTAAGTTTATTAGAGTACAAATGCAAATAGGCTGGTGGTAAAGCTCTTATGTTGTAAAGAAATCTCTCAAGATTTAACAATTAAAATTTTAAAAGATATGGCAATCTACAAATATATCAAAGGCAAGGAGAGTAGAGGCTAGGAGGCCTACCGTTACCCTGGAAGAACTGCAGAGATCCCAGGAGCAGGTGGGATGCCATCTTACAACTCAATTAACATGCTGCACTTTTCATGTTTTTATTTGTAAATATGTTTCTAATACATTATGCAATAAAAAAGCAACTGCAAAATAATTTTCTTTGCTTAAACTTTACAAAATCTTTGCAGTCATGGGTTTAACAAGAGGCATAGTGGAAAGAGGAACAATGCAAGGAATTTCCCCTCCCGAGTTTCCTTAAGAGCCACGCTCCCCCCACTCCCATTGCACTTCAGAACAAGTAATGAAGATGAAAAACATATCTAAAAGAATAGTTCAACCCTCTGTCCATGCAATGTGGAAAAGTATTTATTTATGACAGAATATACAACACTGAAGAGAGAATAAAAAACAACATTTTAACAAAAAGACAAAAAAAAAAAAAAGTAGGCCTACAATAAAAAACTTGAAAACTTAACAGAAACAGTAGAGGTAGTTGGTTTACAAATGAAAATTACAAAAGGTCTTATAAAAAAAATATAAAAATAGCTGGCAATACTTCCTACCTTTCTATTTCTACTAGTCACTAAGACGTGTATAAAACTAGGCCAAACAGAAGAGGTTCCTTTTACACAAAAGCATTTAACACTCTCAGGTTTTAGAGGTGATGAAGGATTGAATCCTTCTCCAAATCTATCCAAATTAAATAAAAAAAATGTTTTTAAACATTGTTCTTTTTAGTCTATTTGACAGTGAATATTTCTTCTTTATTATATATTATTGTTAACATTGTGACACTGCGTTTCCATAAGTCTTCTACTTTTCTCCTGTCTGAGTTTTTATATTATGTCCTAAAATGTATCTCATGTAAATGTGAACCTGAGTCTCCATTAGACCACAAAAGGCAACTCAATTCTCATAGCACACATCCTTTAGTTCAAACATATCACTGATAAATAAAGGGAATCGTTGTAAAAGGTTTTGTGCCATTATTTATGCAGGAAAAAAAACATGTTGTGTTTAAGGAACTTTAATAAAAAGGGTTTGATAAATAAAACAAAAAAAAATCTTTTTTTAATTTTCAGAATCATTGTTTTCTTTTTTTTTATTCTGATTTATCCTATAAGTTTTTTTCTTCTACTGAATGATGGAGCGAGATATTCTTTAATGGTCTGCATGGCTATTAAGCATTTCTTCAACTGGAACACCCCAGAAAGTTGGAACTATGAGTTAAAAAGTCAGTGCAAACGGATGGTACCCGACTTCTACAATCAAGATAGATACTATTCACATCAACAATAGTTAAATGTTCCAACTTTGACCATTTGCAGCTGTTGTAATTTATGTATGTAGCATTAAATCAGGTTAAATTACATTGAGGAGAATAAGTATTTGAACACTCTGCTATTTTGCAAGTTCTCTCACTTAGAAATCATGGAGGGGTCTGATATTGTCAACGTAGGTGCATGTCCACTGTGAGAGACACCACCTTGCTTCAGAAATGTAGAGGATGTTTATCTGTAAAAATTGTAAAAAGCTTTGTCAACAAAAAGGTGAAAACATGAAAAAAAGAAGAAAACTAACAAAATCTGAGTTTAGCTTTGGTGCTCACATTGTGAATTTCTCTTAAAACTTTTTTTGTTAAATCATGAAGTTTCTCAAAAATCTGTTGTTTTTTTGGCCAGAATAATATTGGAGTAAATTTCATTCCATAGAAGTGTCCTCAGTCATATTTTATTGTTTCTCTTCATTTTAGTGACCAATTTGTACGTACTGCAACCATCTAATAGCACATGCTGGCACAATACAACTGTGTGCTTCCTGATAAAATAAAAAAATGTGCATTTCAGGAAGAAGCAACAGCAGAACATTAAAAGTGGTGATATCTGTGCTAACCCATGATCAAAACCCTACATTCGTATTGTGCGTGATCATGTGCCTGCGCAGGTTGCTGGGGTTGTTGAAGCTGGCGTTGCACTGATTACACAAGTATGGTTTCTCTCCAGAATGGGTCCTCAGATGGATCTTCAGGCTGCCGTTTTGAGTGAAGCGTTTTCCACACTGCGTGCAGGCGTACGGCTTCTCCCCCGTGTGAATTCGCATGTGGATGGCCAGTGTGGCTTTGTTTGCAAAGGTCTTGCTGCACAAGGAGCAAGGCAATGGTGACTCGCCGGTGTGGCTGGCACGGTGCAAGATGAGCTCCTCCCGGCTGTGAAATTGCTCACCGCAGAAGGTGCAGTCCAGGGGTTTGATGATGGGGTTGGGGAGCAAATCCTGCTGTTGGGATAACTGGGTGATGTGGCTGGGCTGTCCATTCGCCCCGGCTGCAGCGGGCTTTAATGCTTGGCTGGCTCCTGTTGAGCCCCTGTGTGTGGAAGGATCCCTTTCTAGTTGGAGGTTCCTTGCCACTGCAGCACTGTTATCCTGCATTGCTCCTATAGTTTCCTGGCCATTTGTGCCTCCGGTGAAATTCAGATAATTCTCCACAGGGATGCTCTGGTCAGACAGAGAGCTTAAAGCCTGAAGCTCAGAGGAAGAAAAAAGGATATCACTGTCCTCCTGCAGTGGTGCTCCTCCGCCACTGTGAACACTTACGATTTTCAGTTCATTGTTATCACCGATCAAACAGGAGGAGCCAGATGAGTCCAAACTCTGATTCCCTGCCTCCTGCATGCAATCATCTCCAAAGCTATGCTGAGCTGAAAAAAAAAAAAGTATTAAAACACACTGATAGCAAGAAAAAAGCCCTTCCAAAAAGTTTAAGGTTATGTTGAAACTAAAAAAAAAGACTTATTAGCTTCACTTCCATAGTCATTTCGTCAACTCACCAACGGCTGGCCCAGATCCAATAATGTCGTCCTCATCTTTAATCAGAATTACATCTGGACTGTCCACATCTGCACACTGACAAACAAGGGTGTACAGGGCAACACCTCAACCAGATTCACAGGAATAAAAATAACAAAATAAACAAAAAAAATATTCACCTGCTCTTTAACAGTGGAGGAGGAACCCGTGGTCTGACTTTGAGAAGAGGTGGAAGCAGCTTCAGCAGCCGAGGCTTTTTTAGCCTCTGTTGGCTTCAGAAATACTGAGAGGAACAGAAAAACACAATTTTATGGTGAAAATCAAAAGTTATTATGAAGATAGAGGCTATTAGGGCTGTCCTTATCCGATACTGCTACCAGAGATCAGCCCGATATCAACCAAAAAACTATTGTTGAAAATACATTGACCTGTATCTAAAATCTCCCATATGAGCATGCTGACAGAAACTCTCAGCTTCTTTTTATAATTTATGAAACCCAATGTAACCCATTGGTACAACCCTACTGTTGAATATAAAGCTCTCTGAGTAAACTCACACAATCAAGCCTTTTCTGACACTACAAAAATAAATAACTAAATGTATGGATGATTCATGCTGATACCTTATCAGATAAATTCTTTAAGTATCAATGTCGGTATCAGTTCTAAAATTAAAAAGTTGTTACAGTACACGCAAGATACTCTATACCATATAGGAAGTGGCATGCCACCAATGCAACATAACAATGGAGCAAAGTCAACCTCTGGTGGTGAGTTCACATTAAAGCAATTTATATATATATATATATATATATATATATATATATATATATATATATATAAATAAAGAAACTTGTTAATTTAAGTTACCAAGACAACCTCTGGAGGCTTTCTTTAAAATAGGGTTAAGTAATATTGCTTAAGCTGACAGACTTTAGTTCTTTAAGCTAATAAAAAAACTCTGGCAGAGTAACAACTGACCTTTGACATCTACAGGGTAAATAGCCTGATCATTACATGCTGCATGACGACACTGAACATGAGATATTTGGGAGAAAATTAAATAATTGGCTCACAATTCTTTCGAGCTAATTTTACTTAGCACAAGATATGAAAATAAAATGACAAAATAACAAGATAATAAGCCACATACTTTAATTTAAACAGGTACGACCAACACCAGTTTCCTTTAATGCAGAAATCAAATTATGTATGAAAATAAATAAAATTTCTAAATATATACTGGATCTTTATATATTTGTTTTTCAGTTTTAATCTAGGGATTAAATATAAATAATAATAATGGCAGTTTTTTTTAACAGAATGAGAATATAAACAAAATAAAATATTAAAAACAGAAAGTTAGTCTCTTTGTTGTCAATCCTCAATAGTTAAATAACTGTGATGCTAGCATTTGTTTTAGGCAAGAACTACTGTATTTTTGGAACTGTAGCGGCAGAGGCGTAGCCAGAACATTTTTATAAGGGTGTCCAGGCAATAACCAATGTACACTGAGGGGTGGCCGAAAGTGGATAGGTGCCAGAACCTCACGGTCAAGCCAAAGATAAGACTAACTATACTTTCCTACAGCCTTTGCTAACAAATAGACGCATATATTTAAACATCCGTGCTTTCTAGATAAAAGGTATAGTGCATAAAATACTTTCAGGTTTGAGTTCTGGGGCGAACATCTTTTCCATTGTCATTCTGGATTTTTTTTTTTAGATTATGTCTCTCACGGTGGACATGCACCTACAATGACAATTTCAGACCCCTTATTGATTTCTAATTGGGAGAACTTTTAAAAATAGCAGGGTGTTTAAATACTAATTTTCTTCACAGTATATGTAGCTGTACACTGGTCTCACTTTAGTGAGACAAACATGTTTCTGGAGCTCTTAATAGCCTCAATGAATCTCTGTGTAGTTTCCCTCTTATTTAGTACTCTGTCTTATTCATCTTTGTGGATATGACACAAAGCAACCATTCAGTCAGGACTGTATCAGTGCTGCAGCCACATCTCCACCCATACACATGGCCTTGCCCCTAGGCTACTTAATATAAAGTCAAAAAATACTTTAGAGTGAGAATGAGAGTTATTCTGATTCATGGAAACCATGTCCTAATACCTACTCGGTTTCTGCTTGTGTTAAATATATATTTTACCCTCATCTTCCTCCCTGTGAAGACCCAGAACCATCATCATCCACTGCTTCTGGAATCTGCTCTCCCTAAATCGGCCCTTTCTATCCTGACAATGGAGATTTCTTTTAAATATATGGAAAGCCAAAGTTCAACACAGAAATAAAAGAGGATTGTGTGTATTCTCATCATGAAATAACTAGCAAAGGATGTAACATAGGTAAAAACAGTCGTTAAGCATTTTCACATTATATACTGTTGTGTAATAATGAGGCATTTAGTTATTGTTATCCACATGCAAAAACATGAATCAACAAACATGGTTTGTTAGGAAAAAAAACCTTCGCTGGTCTGGCTGCTTTGCATCCTGACAGTCACCCTCACTGTGCAGCAGTGCTCAGCCTCAACAGCAAGTCTCCCATCTGTGCTCCAGGCATTAGCAGTCATCCCATCTTAAAACTCGCACTACCCCCTATGCCCCTCTATGAAGTGGGCACTTGGGTGAAGTGCAGATAAGGACTCGACTGCACAGGCTCGGAGTGTGCACACATAAGATAAATGGGACAGTAAGCAGTGGTGCCTCGGCATCTTAAGGGAAACATTGACCATGATGAGACCTGTTCCTTTTTAGCAGTTTAACAGCTAAAACTAATTTATAATTTATTTCATTTCTGATAATGGAAGCCTTAAAGGGTTTGTCCTGCTTGTACCATGGTCGTTAAACAAAATAATTATTGAATCAGCTATTAATATGTTGATGTTTTTTGACAGATTAAATAGCAAATCTTTCACTCCAAGTGGCTGAGTAGAGTATTTAACTCTTTTGTTGTGACATGTTGCCATGGTAACCGGCTCCGGCTACATAACCTGCTGCTCGGTTGGCCGTTTCATAAGGTTATGTTAAGAGAAGAAATAAACTTTCAAAGGTAGCAGGTTCAATTTCAAATTATATTTTTTATAGGTCACACAAATATGC